TGCAAAGTAATTGTGATACCGGACGGCAGATGCATCGCAACAGCAACCGCAAGACTCTGAAAGCGTGGGAGCCCACCTCTGAGTGAGAAGTGTAAACAGGGTGATGCGGTCGCCGTGTTGACGTTCGTCTGGTCCAGTAAAAAAGCAAGGTAATTTATTCCATCGAGAATGGGTGTCGGGTTCCCTCCGACGCGTCATGCCACCACTCTCCGCGTTGTTTTTTGCCGCCGTCCCTGTAATAGGTCATCTTTTCTTTCTCTCCGTGTTGTCCTTAAACGCCATCGTGAACCGAGTGGAATATGCCGAAAAGTGGAGTCTGAAAACGTCGTCGTCGTCAAGAGAAAAAAGGAAATCCTTTGCGTGCGCAGATCTCAAATCGATCTCGAATTGTCCCAGTCACAGAGATTGTGACCACAAGACAGATACGCCTGCGTCCGTTTTCCTCAAGTTCCTGTTCCAATCCTTCAGTCAACCTTGGACCACAAACCAATTTCAAGAACTCTTTTCACGTACACTCCGCAATCGGGTTCTCGTGCTTGGCCGTGGAACCCTTGCCGCGCCAGGTGCTGACCGCGGGGATGTTAGCCTCGTAGCGCACCTCCTCGGTTCCGTAGGCGCGCGGGGTGAGCTTGATGAGGGTGTGCAGGGGCACGTTCATCCAGGGGCTGTCGGCCTGGCTCTTGTTCATGAAGTAGGCGTAGATGCAGCGCAGCACGGCCTGGTGGGTGACGATGAGAATGTCCTCGCTGCGCTCGAGCTCCATGATGATGGGCTCGAGGCGGATGACGACGTCGCGGTACGACTCACCGCCACGGTAGCGGTAGTTGTACTTGTCCTCGTCACGGGCGGCGAAATCCTCCGGGAAACGGTCCTTGATTTCCTGGTAGGTGAGGCCGTCGCAGACGCCGGAGTCGAGCTCGTCGAGAGCCTTCCACTGCAACTGGTTGTAGTTAGGGGGGAGGAAGCGAGCGGTAGCGATGGTGCGCTTGAGAGTCGAGGTCCAGACGGTCAAGGGACGGTCGTCCTGTGGGTTGGTCAGCAACCTGGACAGAAAGATACTTCCTTTGGAATGACTTACACCAACTGAATCGCGGACGAGCTCAGGAAGCTTGCGCGCATACTGCTCACCACGGGGAGAGAGCGTAGTGTCGCCGCCAATGCGGCCATCCAAGTTGTACATGGACTCTCCGTGCTGTTCACCATTAGCCAAGACTCAACAGCGCAAAGTTAGTGACACATACTCTAGAGAGCCAGATGGAGCGAGGGCGAATGTGCAAGTTCATGAGGTAGTAGACAACGCGACTCTGAAGGTAGTCCTGAATGCGGTTGATGATAACCTGCTTGCCGACATCCATGATCTTGAGGTAGGTGTACTCGTTCTCATCACCATCCTCGTCAAGCGTCTTGTAGACCTTCTCGTAGTTGCGAATGCGGTTGCGGAAGTCAAGCGCAGCCTCCTCGGGGTCCTGTCCCTGGTAGTCGGGCGAGGTAGTCTTGACATCGCGGATGTTGGCCATGATGAGGTTCTCGTTGTCGCACTTGCTCTCGACGAAGAGGACCTCGATGCCCTCCTTGGTGCAGATGTCGAGAACCCACTTGCGGCGCTCCTTGGTGGAGTTGGTGGCATCAAGGATGCCAATTACACCACCCTGGCGGAACCAGGCCAGCATATCCTCGATGGCCTTCTCGGCCGCGGCGCGACGTCTGCGCTCGCCCTCGGTATTGTAGAAGTCAAAGAAGTCAGCCGAGGGGTGCGCATCCTCCTGGCGGCGGTAGCTGCCGACGTTGAAGGTCTTTGCCTTGATGGAGAGCCAACCCAGATAGCGTTGCGCTGAGCCAATCACGTCAGTGTCAAATAATCGTGATATCAACGCTGTGAATGTGCGCCAAAGTGGTAGCGGCGTCGTTTGCTGAATATTCTCTGGAGAAATACGGAGCTAGAATATTTACTCACCTTTCTGAGCGATGAAGCTCTTGCCCCGAGCGGGCAGACCAACCATGACGACGCATATCTTGGTATCCTCCACCTGAATGCCTATACCGTTAGTCTTGGCCGGCATCTTGACGCTGTGCTTTCTCTCGTTCCCTCTCTCTTTTTGGTAGTTGTCCAAGCGGAAGTTGTTATGACGAGACAGAAGGAAAAGGATGTTGTAGAAGCTGAAAACGCGTAGGCATGAGAAGGAAGCTGGAGATGAATTGAGTGGCGTGGAAAGAGAGAGCGTGGAGGAAGGCAGCTCGCGTGATGCTTCCAGCTCGTGGCAGTAGCTCTACGCCCAAATAGGCGGGACCCCTCGGGCGTGACTCTCGGGGCGGGTGCGGTGACTTTGGGACGGGGGTGACGGGGATGACGGGGGTTAAGGGTCACTCTGAGCCGGACGACATGAAACTGCTGAAAGAAGTGGAGGAGGAGGAGGAGGAGGAGGTCCTTGTCTCTTGACTTCTTTGATAACGTTACTGGCAAAGTGTAGGGACTAGGGAGAAGACTGAGCCAACGGCTGTGATTCGAAACGTTGTTTGCTGAAGAATTCCGTTTGCAGGCAGAGGCAAGGTATGTATGTAAGGGTAGGTAGAGGTATGGGTATGGGTAGGTGTAAGGAGATGCAGAAACAGCACAGTTGAGGTTGCACAGGGTTTGGGGAACGATGATGTAGTGAGGAGAAGAGAGTGACCTGATGTTAGGTGAGGTGAAAGGTGAGGGTGGAGGGCATGGAGTAATGAGTGGATGGGCGGCGTGCGTAAGTCTGTGAAAGTGTGAAGGGGATCGAGAGAAAGGTACGTAAAACATAGGTAAACGAGGAGGGGGAACCTAATAGGACAAGGGCTGCCGAGAGGATATCCCGAGGAACAAGAATACCAAAGGTACTTAGTAGGCAATGGAAGCTGCTTGGAATCAACTTGGCTGCCAGCAAAGAGCCGAGAGCAGCAAGTACATTACTTCTTTCGCAGTGAGGTAAGTACTTGAGAGTAGAGGTATGGAATCGCTGGACTCGGTGGTACCTTAATGAGACTCAGACCCTCAAAGAACAAACAGCGGGCGCAACGACGGCAACGGTCATGATGGAGAGACACCAGGCTCAGCTCATCCGTCAGGTCAGTCTGCCCAGTTCAGATATCAAGTCCACCACTGGATGAACTGATGCGACATGTGCCTCGCCGGGGGATGGATCGCTGTTTGTGCGGAAGGGTATCCGTAGTCAAGGTAAGGTAAGGGTAAGGTACTTCCATGAGCACAGCACTACTTGCTTGGTGACCCCATCTTCCCGAAGGTATCTTGTGGACATGTGCTGGGTCCCTAATACCGAACAGTGGACGAAAGGCTGCACTATCCATACGGAGGGTCAGGTAGAATGGGACTTGTTCTCTAGCCCGATGCCATTGGAGCAAGAACGCCAAAAAGCACAGAAGGGAAAGGAAAAGTCCCATTCTCAAGACGTCCCGTTCGCCCGTCCGCAACTGAGACCACCAGCAGCTTCACCAGCTAAGGTACCTTGAGCAGACACAACAAGATGGATAAGGTGTCCCTTAAGCTGCATGTACCTAACTGGGTATGCATGCAGGGCAGGTCATTCGTTCCATTGTGCGCAACGGCAGAGGCCGCCGTCTCCCCCTCGCGCGGCTTCTAGTCCGTGGTCTGCCCGCCCCTCCATCATAGAGGATCACTGGACCCCATGCCCCGGGTCGAACTCCAATCGCCCCCCATACGGGTGCCCCTCATTCTGCCCGCCTTTCCCCGGTGCCCCTTGTCGGGGAGCCTAGCCCACTGGGCCACTGGAAGGGCAGCTCGAGTCGAGGGCAGAAGCTCCAGCTTGAAGCTCCAGCAGCTCAGCGCAGGCTCTAGCGGGCCATCCCCGCATCCACAGCACTTCACCGGGACATGTCGCATCCTAAGGTACTCGCGCCCAGCTTGAGCCTTGGGGTGTCACTTCGCCAGTCGGCTTTCTTGGTTCACCACCCTCCCGAAAGCCAAGAGGGCAACTCTCACCGAGAACAACCGAGGTGGACATCAGACCACGCCGAACTGACCGATCTGACTTGCTAGACATAGCCGGAGCATCCTCATGGCGCCATGTACATCGGGACTCGGTCGACTGCCTTTTCGTGATGAAGGGGATGCAAACAAGACCCTTGATGCTGAAGAATGGAAACCCAAATTCCAGTCCACTTGAACTTCTCATTCCAACCACAAATCTTCAAAAGGGCCGTCAACGTCCCTGTCAACTTTACCAATCGTTTTCACTCCAACTGCTCATCTGTTTGCTGCTCGGCGACCTCCGGCTGCGGCTATTCACCAACACGCAGAGTCCACAGGAACACTCGACTTTGCATCGCATCAACCACTTGGCCGGCAACAAGAATCATAGTCATCCAGGTCCCCATAGCTCTCGAGGCTCAATTGAGCAACCCAATGGCCACTAACAGCTGACCCCCACGAAAACCCGCCAGGGGAAAAGGTCACCCGGGACAAGTCTCCTGACCGCGCAACATGGGAAATTTCACCGCCGCACTTGCTGGGGGAAACGCCTCTATCCGCATAGGAGTCTAGGCTTGAACAACCAAGGGATATTCCCTCTCTCTTTCTGCCCCCCAGCTCCGAATAAGCAGGTCCAACCGGCCGGGACGCGGATCCAACAAATCGGCACGATTACCAGATCGTATCAAATAGTCCAGAAGGAAAAAGGCTAGGGGAGGGGTCCTCCATCGCTGACCAACACCCCTGCGTGATTATTCACACCGCCAGGAAGCCATCGACTGGGCAAAGGTGGAAAAAAAAGTCACTTGACGATGCCCGTGAGAAGGCCGGTGCATGGCATTGCACTGCACTGCAAACAAGACGACTGAAATCCGCGCAAACGAAACAGAAAGACAACGCGCCAGAAAAAAAAAAGTCTCAAAGCTCTTGAAAATCAAAAGGAAAAGAAAGCCAAGAAATTCGGTGATATCGTACCTTGCTGAAGCTCCAGGTATGCTGTCGTCGAGGCGTCTTCTTGCTCTCATCGGCGCTATTCGCCGGGATCACTCCGATACCCATGGTGGATGGCTGGGCTGCTTGGAAACGTCGCTTTGAAACTGGACTCTGCTGGTTCGCTGGTCAGTTCGGGAATGCCTTCGACCAGGTCGCTCTCCAGGCTGGTCAGGTCGGAAGAACACTATTCCAGTATTTTTCCCAAAATTGTTGCCGAACACGGGGGATGTCGGAGGGGTTCCAAAAGATCGGTACAGCGACTGCCGAGTAACCGCCGCACACCGCAAACGATGGGGGTTGAGACGATACGATCGTGACGGCGAATAAGAGGTGGTGCAAGAGATACAGGAAGAGGGCCGAAAAGAAATCTGCAGAGGGGAAAAGAAGGAGAGAGCTGGCCTCCGAAGCAGCAGCAGCAGCAAGGTCGGTATCGCTTGGAAGGAAGTCGGTGAGGTGTGAGTAAGTGTTGCCGAGGGGCCTGGATCGTGAAGTGTTGAACCAAGTGGCAGAAATGAGAGCGCCATCGCAGTGACCTCACTGAGGTGCCTTATCGATAAGGACTCTAGAACTCGATAAGCCCTCGTCGCCACTCCGATAAGTCCCGACCCGAGCACTGGTTTCAGTCTCGTCCACTGTGGAAACACCGCCTGCGCTGGAACTGCTGCTGTCTCTGACCTGCTATCACACTTTACCAGGCTGCCCCGGGCGCCGACGAGGAGGCCAGGTTGCTACCTAACCAACACGATTCCAAGTGAGCATTCAAAGAAAGTATGAGGCAAGTGGCATTCATTAGACTGAACCCTATCTCACCAGTACAAGTACGACTCTGTGTAAGCTACTATGTCTTTGGCCAACATGACCCCAAAACAACCCCAGCAAATTCATCCCCAATCTTGTTGAACAGCCTACATGAAATTAAGTAGTAGTCTCAGTCCGAATATCAAAAGACCTGATGAAGTGACCTCGAAACTACCAAACCGCTGCTTGCATTTCTACTTCTCGGGGAGCTGAGGAGTGGCACCGTAGGTTTCGCGACCGTAGAAGCGAACCTGACCAGCACCAACGTCAAAGTAGGCTTCGACATTGTGTAGGAAGACTGAACCCAGGATGTACGGACCCTTGCCACCGGTAGTAATACCAATCTGGCAGTAACCCGTGAGAGGGTCCACCAGTCCGCGGTAGATGAGATCCACGGGGTTGATGAAGAAGCTTGCGCCTTCGATGATGACGGCTATCTTGGGAGCAATGGCATCACAAGGGGCGAAGTATCCGCCATACTGGAACAAGTAGATGGCACTGGGGGAGAAAGATCTGGCAATAGCCTCGGCTGTGGGCGGAGGCACGTACATAAGCGTCGTGCCAGTGTCGACAATGTACAGGTACTTCTTGGTGTCGCTCGTGGATCCCCAACGCAAGCCATCGACGAGGATGGTGTAGTATGAGTATTGCCAGCTACCGTCGGGACGCTGTGAGTTGATGCTGGTCTGCAAGATTGTAAGTCATACTGAGATGTCATCCTGTTTTGTTCAAAACTCACAATGATGAGATCGGTGTAGGCCGTGGGGCCAGTGATTGGCAGACCAGTGCGGCCACCCCATCCAATTACGCCAGACGAATTGCGGACGAGAGAAACGCTGAAGGCGTCTGAAGAGAGCCCTTGCTGAACCATGCTGGTAAAGAAGGGCGAGTATGGAACCTGGAAAGCAGGGCGATCCTCATTCATGTCGCCAGTGAAAGCACTAGTGATCGAGGGATAGGCAAGACCGAGAACACCGTTGGTGTAGTTGTTGCCCATCCAGTACGTCTTGTTGGCCAGGCCGACCTGCTGTTGTTTGACGACGATGCCGGCCACCTCGATGTCACTGTAACCCATGGGGCCGGACACTCGCTCGCCAGAACCGTAGCTCAAGGCGAAGTGGACATCCTCGACGGGGCCATATTTGAAGTCGTTAATCTTGTCCGGTCCAAAGCCGCAAGATTCAGGGGAATAGACAGCAGTGCCTGACAGGTTGGTACACGTCAGATTGGAACTGGTGGCCCAGGTGTCGCTGCTGCCGGTGTCGAAGATCATGTTGATGAGCTTGCCGTCCCAGGTAACTTCGACAGCATATTGAGTACCCCAAGGAGACAAGGCTGTGATGTTCTGGTAGCTGGAAGAGAGATCTCGAGGCTGGGCAGCGCCCAAGGCAGTGGCGGCGTTGTGGCCGGTGATTCTGCCATGGAATGGTTTCAGTTTCTGGGTGCGGCCAGAGACCTCATCAGGGGCAGCCTCACGAAAGGCCTTGATGCGCTGGAAGTTGACGCCTTTGAGAGGGCTCTTGATCTCGACACCGACACGGCGTCTGTCCTTGGCCAAGACGGCATCGGCGGACAGGAGACCAACTCCCAACAGAGAGGAGAGGACATTGGCGACCTTCATGGCGTCTTGGATTACGGAGAGAATGGGAAAATGAGGGTGGTTGAAAGGAATGATGGATGGAACAAGAGAAGGGACGAGACCGTTGAGCTACAGCTTGAGTCTCTTTTTGAAGATGAACGAGGACGCTGGTCAAGTGTCGGAGAGAAAGGCTGAGGAAAGCTGACTACGGTGAGGAAGATGAAGGGTTTTTGAAAAGGGGGACAATCCTCGGACGTGTGTTCGGGGTGGACGGTGACGGCAGGAAGGCGCAGCAAACACGAATGTGCTTCCCACCTCGGCTGGTCCCGTCTGCGTTACTTCCCTTTGGACGAATTGTAACATTAGGAAAGCGTGTATATGGCTGTGACTGCTAGAAGCTGGAAGGAGGTACATGAAGTGGTTGCCATCGTGGATGACGGGAAGGGCAAGTACCGCTTGCCTTGGATCGTTTGCTCGGGATGCCACGTCCATCTTGGAAGGATTAGATCTACACGGAAACAGCGTACCTTCCTTTGATATCCTGGCCTCCCGTTGAGGAAGTTGCAGTTTGCCACTGACTCGTAAGGCATTTGCGAAGTTCCCGCCCATATCATTGATACTTCCATTGGCTTTGAAATCTCACAGACGACGACGGAATCACCTAAGAAGCTTATGGCTCATGGCTCATAGCCGAGACCCGCAACGAGTCCCCGATGTCATCCACTCTCGCTGCCCATAGGTAAGCTATTCGGTCCGTTGGTGTAGATTTCATTTATATCTCATCTGCGGCTTACATTCCCTTACATATTAATACAAACGGCCTTGGCAACTTCCTATCGACCCATATTTACGAATGTCACATTATTTCAAGACAGAAGCTGATTCTAGCTCAGTAATCTTCGGACTTGAATACTTTCCATAAACTAGAGCCTAGCTCATCGTGGTTGTGTTATTGTGAGGGTCATCCGCGATCCCCCTTGGAGCACATCTTGCTTATGGTCGGGCATAGGAATTGGGAGCAATATGATTTAAGTATCTGATTGAAACAATGGGAATTCATCAAGTTCAGCTAGGGTTTCGATATTCCGTCTCATTCAGACTGCTTTGGTTACACTAGGCGGATGCCTGCAGCATTTGCCAGGTATGCCATTCAGGTACTAGTATCACCAGACGTTACTCGGGAGTCGGCTAGCTTATTGAACAAACGCAAAGAGTCTCAGACCACGCACATGCTATCGGAAGTCGGCTCAAGAAAATGTAATCGGGTCGAAACAGCATCTGTTCATCTCAGGTAGATAGCTTCTCGAGTTTACAAAAGTCCTGCCTCGCCACTGCGCCATCCAGCTTCGGTAACACCAGATGGGTCCTATGTTTGTTCACGCTTGTCATTCGCGGCCAAACCATATGCTCTCAACGTGCTGTCAACGTGTTGTGAAAGAAAAAATCCGAGCATACACCTCGGTCTCCAAACTCTCAGCTCTCAACCCCTGCTCGGCAGATCTGTTTGTTCCTTCATGTTAAATGCGAGATGGCGCGCCATCCGCATATGTCCTGCCCAACGTGCCACCATTGTCGTCATGCAGTATGCCCGGCCCACTGTCGTTGCCACCAATTGAACTTCATTTCAACCGAGTCGACTGACACGAGAAGCGACGTCCATTGAGGAACCCCTGAAATCTGGGGCACTGCTGTTCACTACGGTTACTACATAGGGTCTAACCTCAGAATTGTATTGAGCAACGTTAATGATACATGGCAATGTCTGACGAGGACTCACAGCGGGCTCATGACATAATCACCAATACGATGGGTTCCATCTTACAACATATGCTGCCAGAATAAGGTGCTGACACCCCCGATCTCAGCTCCGAAGTTGGGGACCGATCGGCCTACAAGAATCGGAGTCCATGTCCCGCCGGCGGGCCGCTGGCCTGACTATGCTCGTGTCACTCCGGTCTGATCGGACTGCCTCATTTTCCCATCAATTTTTTTTGACAATGAGAGAGAATTGAAGCCAAGATCTCAACGTGAATCCCTCAGGATTTGGTTGAGACATCCAAAGTCCCGTGCGGCAGGGATGTAAAGCCGAGGCACTTACCGGAAAGGGTAACCTAGCCAACCTTAACATGATGACGACAAGACCCGAGGATAGGGCTGAGAATGTACTGTCTAGGTGACCCGTCCATCCCATTGGAGCTCTGACTACGTTATATCTTAACCTCACCTCGTCTCCCTCCCGTATCTTTACCTTGAACGTTGACTGTAACCCTTCCCCGGGATTCTTCATCGGATAGTTGGTCGCAAAAAGCAACGGTCGCTGTCGAAAGTTTCTCACACACGACAACCCAAATCACACTCACCATGGCATCAAACCAGCCCACCGGCGCTGCCGGACCCCTGCCAGCCATGCAAGAGCTCTCACCCACGACGTTCCTCTACGACCCGCCCTCATCCGTCCCGGACCCGAACTCACCCAAACTCGTTGCCATATTCAGCTGGATGTCGGCCCAGGACGTCCACATTGCAAAGTACACATCGCGTTACATGGCAATGTACCCCTCCGCCAGCATCCTTCTCGTGAAGTGCCCCTTCGTCCACACCCTCTCCAACCGCATTTCCAAGCGGCAAATCAAGCCGGCGGTCCCCGTGATCCGCTCTCTAGCAGACTCCATCCCGCCCCCGGCCTCATCTGAGACGGGGACAGGCCAGCGGGCCCCGCAGCTCCTCTTCCACGTCTTCTCCAACGGCGGCGCCACCAACCTCGCAAAGTTCCTCGAGCTCTACGCCGATGCGGATCGCGCAGGCCGTCTGGAGCTCCCGCCGCACGTGACGCTCTACGACTCTTGTCCCGGAGGATTTCACTGGATGCGGAGCTACCGCGCGATCTCGGCCTCGATGCCGCGGATCCTGGCGCCGTTGGCTCATGTCTTCATCGGCTGGTTCTGGCTGTTTCACGTCCCGTTCGGGCGCGTCGGGTTCTTTGGCAAGATGTGGGCGGCGCTGCGGCAAAAGTCGCTTTTGGGCAGTGAGAGGCGGCGGGCGTATTTGTACAGCAAAGAGGATGAGATGATTTACTGGGGTGATGTGGAGAGGCACGCGGATGAGTCTGCCGAGGTCGGATTCAAGGTCCGCAAGGAGAGGTTTGATGGGAGTAAGCATGTTGCGCATGCCAAGTTGGATTCGTCGAGGTATTGGGGCCTTGTGAAGGATGTGTGGGACGAGGACTTGGTTAAGAAGAAGGTTGAGCCGCCGACGCCGCCGACGAAGTCTGCTGATGCCCCGTCAGAACGAACGCCCGAGAACGCTTCAAAAATTGCCGACAAGACTCCAGAACCTGTGAAGACCGCAACAGAGCCACCGCAGGCTGCTTCGGAGGCTCCAAAGACCAAGCCAGAATCACTGAAGGCTGTTCCGGAGCTGGCTTATGAACAACGCAAGCCCGCACCGCCGCCACCGGAAGTTGCACCTGCAAGGCCGAAACGGCAACCAACGCCGCCTCCAACCATTCAGTAGGCTGGTGATGTGCTTACTTTCATTGGTCGAAACACTTATCACTTTCATAGATGATACCTTTCCTTCGTCTTCACATGTATAGATTGGGATACGCGTGGGCATACCGTAGACTTTCTTGAAGAATTATACCATGTCATAACTGGGTGCGAAAGCCTATCTTTTGAGAGATCTCATTGAAGTGATGTGAACTTACGATGCACGTGCTGCCTGAGAGTCAAGGCGGAACCTAGTAAGTCCTCTTTGTTTGGATTTGATATACGACTACTGATCTTCTCGTAGTATCAGCGGCTATTGTTCTGTGAGGAAAGATTGATCGGAGTATGGGCGTGAACTGATGGTCGCAAGCCAATGCGATGCTATCAAGAAGCAGTCCTTTCCCGCCTTGCGCTCACTTTCATTGGTAGACGTAGCGCTGGTCTGACAATTTGAATGATGTAGTGTTGGGTCTCAATTGGCTCTTTCCATGCAGCACACCCAGCCTGCAGGAAAGCCTGACGCTTGGGAGGCACTGCTGGGGCTTACCTGCCACGCAGCCTGCTTAATTCGGGCGTTGAAAAGAGCATCAACCCCCCCTCGGTCTGCCCCGTACGCCTGGCTAGCTGTTCTTCTGATTTGTAGCAGAGCCTTTCTTGACGACCATCAATCATTTAACCCCTGGCCTGAAATTTTGAGACCGGCAGAGATTACCAGTGACTGAGGGAAAGGTTCGACCTCCACAATGGCGGAAGCCTTCGGCGTTGTCGTCAGCGCCTTCACCGTCGTCGAGATTGCCGGCAAGCTTGGTTCCAGCACAATCAGACTCAAGAAGCTTTGGAACGAAGTCCAGGATGTGCCCCGCGAGATCAGCCAGCTCGTCGAACAGGTTGATATTCTTAACTCCATTCTTACAGAGATGGATAGGGAGTTCAGTCAGGCAGGCGCGCCGAGAATTGGCACTTCAGATGCTAGTCTAAGATGCTGTCAGCAAGTGGCGAACGAGTTGGAGATACTGGCGACAGACTTACAACAGCAAATTCTTACCGCGAAGAAGTCACGGAGGAGCATAACGAAGCTCAGAGTTACGCTTAAAAAGGACCTGATACAGAGCTGTCAGCAAAAGCTACAGTTCGCCCTGCAAATGGCGTTGCTATCACAAAATACGAGGATATTGTAAGCGCATCGATTTATTCGCAAAGTAGACATTGCTAACGAAGCTTCCAGTGCCTCCATCGCTAGTAGGACCGAGTCAACTATGAGTGGCGCTGAGACACCGGAAACGAACGCATTCACTGTCGAGGCTTACTCAAGCCGACAAGTGCGCCTGACAGACGAGCCAAACTTCGAAAGTTTAGCTTCTGTTAGGAGAGCATCCAGAATGGAGCCACTCCACAATGCACAGTCTTCCTTCTTCGGCGGCTTTACCAGTCGGACTGTTCCGCACTCTAAGTATCACGACGTTCAAGGTGGGTGCCTAGGCAAGTTTGTGAAGTGCAAGGTCTATAATAATATTTCGCAGTATACCAGGCACGGTTACAGCTACCTTGGTGGGTGTCAACGAGACTCTGGGATATTCAGTCATACCGAGCGCATGCTGGATGGAAGTTCTCCCTGAGAGTTTGGACAGTCCGACCTCGCAACACTCCCATATTCAATTATATACGGGACGGCTACTGGACACTCGCGCTACGTGAAATCGAGGAGCATCGGGCATCTTTGTTCGACCGTGACGATCGGGGAGCCACACTGCTACATGTACGCGTATTTACGAAGAAGCACATGGTTATGACGCTGACTAAATCTCAGTATGCAGTCCAATCGCAAGAGCTGAAGATCGTTCATCATCTGCTTGCCATGGGCTTACGGTTGGACGACATGCGAAGTCGGACCCATAGTTTTCTTTATTACAGGGTCGATGACAGAAAGTCTTCGAATGATGTATTGGAAATATTCAAGATTTGGGTTTATGTCTTGCTTGACGACAGCCCGGAGGACTATTACACCCAAAAGGGAGCTATCCTTGACCCATTTGCCATCTCTGGCTTTTTATGGCAGGCTCAAGAAGCTCGCCATTACATGACGAAAAGCCTAGGTGCCACATACTATCAGCTCCCGGCGAAAGTCCGATATGCTCATCTAAATTGGTGCACAACGGATCCACGAAATCTGCTAGACGAAATACAGCGCGACAAAGGCCTCCAGCCCGCAGACTTCATTGTGGCACTCGAAACATCAGCATGTGGTTCTGTGACATATTTCGTGGAGATGTACGCATACAATGTTACTCATAATTTTCGAGGTGACCGATCTCACTGGAGAGAACTTGCGCGGTGGATTCTACAAGCAGTGTCCTCTCAAAGTTTAAGCATGCACACGTTTTTCAGTGCCAACGGAGAGGAAATCCACTATCAAACGCTACTTTTTACTGGTCTTCTCGGAAATGTGTGGGATTATTCGAAATATAAACGCCAAACCTCCTTTTTTCTACGAAAGTGGCTGGAAGACGTACAGACCGCAGGTCATGAACTTGAAGAATACGGCCGTCAAGAGATGGAGTATTTCAATTCCATGGCGCGGCTGCGAGAAGAACGTTTGACCACCTGGTCTGATGAAACTTTGAGATATGAGCGTGGTATGCGACTGGTATCATTTGCGTATGGGCCCGAAGCTGAAGACTGGAATCTTGTCTGGAGTCTGGAAGCCGAGGAATACGCCGGTGAGTTTTGGGATCTGATCGAGAATCCGCCTTTACATATTCCGGGAGGATGGGTGGACGATGACAGTTCGGACTATGGCTGGTAGTAAGTCGCATCGCGGGTAGCATAAAATCATGGTCCCTTGATTCCTTGAAGCCATTCTTCTTCAAAGCTTAACGTTCATCCAGGTTGTATCCGCCTGCGCCTTGGCTGCTGTCTACCTCACAATATCTTGGAGTCTTGGAAGTTGGGAGACGGATCGGGACATGGAGGAACAAGGCAATTTAGAGGTCTGGGTCTGATATGTACTCCATACTGTTCAGCTATTATGTCATGGTCTTCTCGAATGCTGGCTCTGTCGCAATGAAGAAGTTAAAGTGAGAAGACTGAACTAGCCGCAATCGTGTGTTGCTTGCAGCTGTAATCCAAAGTGGTACCGGCCAGGAGTTGGGTAGGTTTTTCCTAGCTACATTATGCGAAGCGTGCAATCGCGCACTCGGATTCCTTATATCTTGCAATGCGGAGACTTGGGAAGACCTTCCCGTATCGGGGCGGAGTGGTCAGCCTCAAATCAAGCAGACAGGTAGGAATACTTGACCGAACATAGCTTCAAACTCTATATACTACCCCAAGTACGTTTCGGACATCTCCCCACAGTAACAGCTAGCAAGACAGGCACAACAAGCTCGCAGGCCGACCAGGTGGCTGGCCATCCCATCATTCTACGGAAACACCTTGAACTGTTGGGATATGGGCCCATGATAAGAAGGTTATCTTGAGAACATCAATTGATGATGGTGGTTCTGTGTTAGCCATCTTATTGTTGACGTCACCACGAAGCCTTTGGATTTGGACTGAACAAGAACATACAATGCAAGAAAGGAGGTGTAGAACTGAACCACTTATCCTTCGGCTACGCCTCTGGGTAGTCTGTCTGTTTCTAGAAAGCTAGCAGCGAAGCATGTGTAGTGGTAGAAAGTAGCCAAGCCTGGTCATGACCTTGACGCCTGGCTCTAATTGTGTGCCTGATTCTCAAGCTACGAATCTTTCAGGTACTCGGATAAAACATTAATTGCCCCTTGATAATCTACCTCTATTTCTACTCTTCTTCCTCTTCCTATGGCCACTGTCTTTTTCTTCACCCAGGATCAGGGAGGTCTACTCCCTGATAGACCCCGAAGAATAAACTCAAGACGTATGGAAGAGAATGATATGAAATGCACGGCTATAAGTGGAGGGACTACTCATACATTGACCGGCACGCTACTTTGTCGCCCACCTGCCTCCCATCTCGACCTCCATTGGTTCGTCTGATATCAGGAAAGCAGCCAAAAGTGCATTCGCCAATCAATGTTTTTACGAATGTACACATTCTCAAGCTTGGACGGGGCGCAACCCCTCACTTTTAGCTGCCAATGAAGGCAGGCAGATTGGGTGGTGACGGCCCTTGTGCGCAGCTGCGCAGTTGGCGCAGGCTGACAAGTCAAGTTGGGTCCCGATCAAGAGCTAGAATGCGCAACTGCGCAATCATGCATCCTCAGCGTTTCCGAGACCATAAGAGCATGATGGCATCTGCCTTTTCCCGCTCTGAAATCTGCCATGTATACCACGGAAGTACTACGCTAGTGCTTTGGAGTTTCGCCGCAAAATCATACGAATTCGAGCCAGATACAGCCTAACAAATGGATAAGATTGGAATTGTCAAGATGGACCGGGTTGAACCTACTAGGAAGCTCAAACGTCGATTGCCCAGGATTTCTACAGAGAAATGGGACAGGTTGAAGGAGGTGATCCGCGAGGAGTACAAGACCAAAACCTTGGAAGAACTAATCACCTTTCTCAAGGTTGTACACGATTTTTCGGTGACGTAAGATAACTGATCATATGTCATATAACACGCTCATGTTCTGACTATTCAAAGCAAGAGACAGCTGGTTTACAGATTGGGCATTTGGGAAGTTCCGAAATATGCCGTTTGGAATCAGAAGGGCTCAGACCTCTCGGAAAGCGTACCAGAGATCGAGTCTCACGACTTGAACGATGAAGCTCAAGACGAATTTGAACCAGCAAACCTCTACCCCCTTGATCATACAGATGTGGAAACATATCTGAGGGCGACATCTTCGACCAGCCACCGGCTGGCGGACGAATCAAGTGACGCAACTAATTACTACACCTTCACCCGACTTCTGATTCAATACATCTGCGAGTCAATGGGGTCGGGGTCCGTTTTTGTAGATCTCGCAGACCACATCAGCCGAGGACACCGTCTTTTCAACTGGGCCGCTAAGACCGACGAAGTCATCAACTTCATCCGTGCTAGTCACAGCTACGGGACTCTGGTACCTTTACCATTCAAGAATCACCTGGAAACTCTCGACGCGCTCGTTGTGGACGAGCACCCCCACCTGTTGGGCACCCTCTTTGTCATCTGGAAGAATACTTCGTTGATAGATGATGACAAAGTTTCTGAAAGATATTTCATCAACACAGTCAACAAGCTCTGTCAGAAGCTCCTCGGTCGACAGCATCTGATCACGGGGATCTTTGCCTGTATAAGCATTGGATCTCTCGAGCCAATTGCTTGCCTGGAACGCCTTGAAGTACTCCCTTCGGAGCTTTTTGCTCCAAAAAACTTAGCTCCCGATCCGAGTTTTGAGAAGTACGAGACAAGCGACTACCACACGATGTCCTCTCTGTATGCGGCTTCAGCAAAAAGTTTGACTCACACTAAAGGTCTGGACTTGATGAACAGCGATACAGTCAGCTTGCGTGCTTTGGCTCTTCGACAGCGCAGTGATCAACGACACGAGTGGTACTCGGAACAGGGACCTCTAGCATATCCCTGGGAAACCTCGTTATCAGCAGGTCAGGGCTTAGCAAATGTCGAGGAGCCTTTCACAAAAGTCTTGACCGGTGCACGACCCCCCCAGAGCCTCATGATGCGGCCCGTTGGCATGGATAGCTTGCCACCTCCTATCGATAAAGGAAGTCAATCATCCATGAGAAGTCCTAACGTTTCCAGGGCTGAGGATTCTTGGCCTTTGAGAAAGCCTGAAGCTTCATCTGAATCTTTTTCAGAGCACACAGGACAACCTCAGGAAAGTCATCCGGGGAAGACCCAAGAAGAAACAGACACCAGCAATTCTTCCATAACAAGGACTCGGAGCACTTCGACGCCTACTGATGCCGATAACCAGACGGACGTGGATGGATGCTCGGTTTCCCACGACGAAGAATCGGGTATTTGGAGCAGCTCGACCGCGGATGAACAGCAAAACATGCGAGCACTGGAAACAGAAAGGGGCCGGATAGTCCAGGAAGTTATGGACGCGTTTTTAAATGACTTGGATAGTTATTTAGAGGATATCACCAGCACTTTCCTTGCCATCAAAGGGGAGGATAGGAACGAACCCACCCAGGCTCCCTCAGGGGCTGAGGGGTCAACTAAAGGCGAACAGGGCCAAAAGCCTCGAAAACAACAGAAATTGTGCGGCAAGGGAGGGAATTGCGGTGGAAGGAAAGGCAAAGGTCTTGCTGACGACAGAGATGAAGACAACGAAAGCGCCGAAGACGGGGACGGCAGTGAGCGACGCCACAAAGTGCCAAACATGCGAGACGGGCCCAAGGTTATACCGCTTGCATGCCCCTACTTCAAGTGGAACCCTCTTGGATGCCCCAGAAAGAAGGAATGCGCAGGCCCAGGGTGGCCTTCAGTGCATCGCGTGAAGTTAGCCCGTTGCCGTTTACTACTTCATTTACTAATGGCCTGATTTGCTGACATATGACTCTCAGAGAGCACCTCTACCGCCGGCACGGATCGCCATTTGAATGCCCTAGATGCCGACGGGATCTCAAGGCGCAAAGTGCGTTGAACTCGCATCTCAAACTCGCCCAGATTTGCGAAGTTAACAACGAAATACATCTGTCTGGGAGGTTCAACTTTGGGCCGGACATCGAACGTCGACTCAGGGTCAGATGCTCATCGAAGCAGACTGAAGCAGAGAAATGGAAGCAAGTGTACCGAACTCTCTTCGACGTTAGGGAAGATGAAATACCCACACCTTGTGAGTGGCGAGCCCATGAGAGTGTAAGTCAGACGGAACTAACTCGAGATCTCTGTAGACTATGATCATGATTTCTCCGCCATTGGTCGAGAAGAGACTTGGAAGGAGTTTACGCGCCGTGAAATCATGATCTTCCTTCGACAGCGCATCGAAGCTGAGGTTGAGCGAAGATTTGCGGCTATGGCACCCGAGCTTATAGCCGGGCTGAGGGATATCGTCCACGATCTGGAGCTCGTACTAAGAGAAAACTTCGAAAAAAGTCGGGAGCAAGATAGAACCATTGATCGAGAAGAGGCCCTTGTGAGGCCGCCTCCGCCACTGGTTGTCGGCGAATCCTCCACGAATACAGCTCAGACACTTGGTAACGACGGGAGAGAGACGGCTATGGTCTCAGGAATCGTTCCCAGTGCGGATAATAACTTGGCGGAAAACCTTCCCCCCGACGATTCGCAGCAGGGATTTCACTCTCTGGACGGACGCGAGTGACATGGGCACGCAGGGCCAGGGAATGGTAGAAGGAGAACAACCTTTCAACTTTACACTCTTGGGTGATGACTTTGACCTTGACTTTCTCAATTATGACGGAGGCAACGACACGTTCTAAGGGTATCAGTAGAGTGAGCATGCCTCCGTCAGTCGAGGATTAGACTGAAAACTAGAATGACTCAACCTTCTGTGTAAGCTTCTTAGCTGATAAGTGGCATCTTGAGAGAGCAGAAATGCCAAACACTGCATCGTGCCATCCGTATGCTCAGATCGATCACGATACATGGCTTCATCCCACGACCGACTAATCGCCAGCGATGAATTTAGGTCGGATCATGCAGTGTCATCTACCTCATCTGATCATACAATGGCGGAAGAACCCCTGGCTCACCCCACGAGATCCTCAATAGCAGGACAAATGATGAGGGACCGAAATGAGGGCTCATGCTGCGAAATCAATTGCGCTTTTGTATTAATAGTAAAATCTTCTCTTGTGAAAGAGCAATCCATCGTGACCTCTCGATGCTCGCGAGGGAGCATGCGAGACGTGTCGTACATCACCCGCATGCCAAGAGGCGCGGATCCCCTCGCTAGGAGCCCCTCCCGATCGCCACGCCACTAACGTAGGTAAAAGGTAGACTAGGGTATCTCTCCTCTCCCTCAGGAATGCAGCGGAGAGTCCGCCGCAGGCCTGCCACACACACCTGTGACCTTGAAGCCCAGTGTGCCCGCCCAAAAATAACATTATTGCCTGCCCTTTTGTCCTGATCGTCGTCGTATGCGTCATGTGCCTGTGATGTTGCTGATGTGGTTCCAATCGATTGATGCCAATGCCAATCCCGCATGTGTGCAACACCATCGCGTCCGTGGTATCCCGAGTTCTGAAGTCCCCAATGCCATTATGTATGTGCTCCATGTCGAACACCAAACGCCTCGCCAGGAGTGTAGAGAGAGAGGGGGGAAAGGAAGAGATGGACAAATATCCTCTCTAAAGTTCGAACCGTGTCATAACTCCATCATTATCGCAAGCTTCATCAAGCTTTTCACGTCCTCGCCTTCTTCTTCTTCCTTCCCTCCCCTTCGTCCCGGCTCCTCTTGCTCGAGCCGGGTTGTGGTATTGACGCCGATGACGACGATCCTGCTGCTGTGTATGCTGCTGATGACGGGTGTTGGTATTGCTGATACTGTTGATATTGATGATGATACTGCTGAAAATCCTGCTCACCAAAGTCCATACCGGCAACGCCTTCGTCCTCGCCGGCGCAGGCGTCGCATTCCTGGTCAAAGGCGTGTGTCTCGACGTCGACGCCACGCCGACACGAGCCGAACTTGTCGGCGTTCTTGGCCTCGAGGCACGATAGCTGCTGGGAGAGGTCGGCCCAGGTGAGGGATTCGTTGCAGCGGGTGCAGGTGCCCGCGAAGAGCACGAGGCGGCACATTGTGTGTGTGTATGTGTTTCTTTTGTGTTCTCTTTCGAGGCGGGAGGTGATTGAGGCGCTGTTTGGAGGGGGTTGTGAGGAGGACTGGGTACGATGTCGAGAGGGGAAGAGGTGGCAGTGTGGTTTTTCGAGTTCCCCCAAGCCCCAAAGTGATCCCTGGGCGAATGAGTTTGTTGTGCGAGTGTTCAATCAGGTAGGTAGGACAAGGGGAAAACGACAAAGAAGGATTTATGCTTGTTTATCGACCGTTTGGAAGTTGAATCCGCAATGACCTTACGAGGGGGTAAACAAGGTCTTTCGAGAGTAAGAGAAATAAGAATTAGTCGGACACGGTTCGAGGAGAAGGAAAGAATGTTGAACGGCAGAAGAAGGATGAACTAAAATCAATCGTCGACGGATGGGCAGCCACAAGCTTTCAGAGGATCGGCACGGGGGGGCCCTAGCACATCTCGATAGAAAAACGCGACCTGGAGCTTGACGGGTTGTGTTGACACACTGACAGGTACGGATACACCAGGACAGAATCATAAAGGGGGGGTAGGGGTGTGTGTGAGGGGGGTGAGGGGCCGACGGGTAGAGAAGTCTGAGAGACAGACAGAATCAGAGACAGGGAGTTCGGAGAGGAAGCGAGAAGAGCTCATGCAGCCCAAGCCCTCTCCCGGAAGTGAACTTGAGAAGAAGAAACGAGGTTCAAGGGGAAGAACGACGAAGAGAGTGAAAAAAGCAACAATCATAGATGAGCAGGAAGCGCCCTCTCTCTCAGAATCTCTGGCTGCCAGCCTGCCATCCACCATGCAGCTCGCCAACAGCCAACCGTCTTGCAGTAGACTATATGCAGGATGCGGCTTAGCCTCGCCCTTGCGCCGCCGCTTAGCTGCACATCAAGACGCGAGACGAGAAAGAAAGTGAGAAGCGAGCTGCATTCGCTGTTGGCTGTCGAGTTGAGTATCCTGCTTGTTTCTCTCTCTCTGTTCATGACTGTTCTGTCTACGTAGTATGCCATGCCATGCCATGCCCATGTCCATGCCCCTCTCCCCGTCTATCCGTGTGTGTATACAAGTATGTGTGTGTGTGTGTGTGTGTGAGAGTGCTCCAATTCTTCTGCACACCCACCCCAGCACATCCACTCGCGGCCCGCGGCGCTCTGCCGGGGAACACAGACAGGCCTTCCCATCGTGAGGAACGATGTCCTGTGGAGTTGATGTATGTATGTAAGAAAAAAGGCCTTTGGCGGCCACGCTTCATAGGATCACGAAAAGGAGGGGTGGGACGGGAACGGGGGTAGAGCGAGGCGAGAGGGAAGAGGGCATCTTGCCCCGAGACATTTCTTGCAGTGACATTCCAGGCACCCAAATTCTGTTCAGCGTGTGTAACTTTTCTTCTCTGTGGAGATGAGGTGATTTGAACGGAAATGGCTTTTCTTGTTGTTTCCAACGGCGCTGAGACACTGCGCCGAGCCTTTTTCCTTTCGTCTCTGCGTACGTAGCACGACTTTCGCCAGTACAGATCCAAGAGAAGAGTAGGCACGGGATATCTTCTACCATTGACACTTCACAGTCGAAGATCGAGAGTCAGAAAGAGATGTGCGGGAGGCACGGGAGACACGCGGCGCAAAAACAAGCTTTGAGATGGGATTGTCTTAGGGCCGGGCGAGAGAGGCAGAGCATGGATCGCGAAGCGAGCAATGCAACATGCCCCTTTCAGGATAGCTCCGGGATCAAGCTCCCTTGCAAACGGCAGACCTCAAGTTGTCCCCTCCCGAGTCCCGCATTCCGCTGTCTCTGTCTCTAAGCGTCTCTGAGTGTCTCCCGCGGGGATCAGCAGTTATGTGTCAGTCTGCTCTCTCTAAGGGAACAAACCCCTCGATCGTCTGTCCTTATGGCCCAAGATAGCTATGGCGATGGTTTCGAGATGCTGTTGTTACATTCAACACAGCCTCATGCCACAGTGATACCCAAAATGCTCCCCCATATTCTCCCACTCTTGCCCCCTCATGACCCCCCAAAAGTCATCCTGCATTGCAACCTTGGATCGGCACATGCAAGGCCAGATAAGGCAGACGGTTCGAAGGGAGCACACAGTCCGACAATCCGCCTTCCGTAGAACAACATGCGGGCACGGGAGCACGTACATCCGCACGCCTTTTCTGCTCGAAGAGCCCGTTTTCTCTCCCACGCTCGCTGGCTCGAACGGCCTAGACCCTTGACCTATTCTGAATCAACGACGCTGTTCAGCGTCCGTTAACAAACTTTCCCAAAAAGTTGACTCGGGTACACCAACCTGAGGACCTCGTGCTCGTGCGCCTCTTTCTTTCCTTTCCCCGTTGTTTACGGAGAAGTTAGAGTGGCCCTTTCGGTTTAGGCCGTCGCCCATCCGTCACTGAGCGCCTGTTACGGCCGGCCGGTGGGATGACAATATCCGAACAGAACAGGAGTGACACCACATATCCTGACCTACCGACGGATACCGGTACATCTTTCAGAGGCCATGAACGAATCGGCTTCTGACAGACGGCAGAGTCGGGGACTCGACCAATGCGGGGGGAAGGGAGAAACGCAGTCTCTTGCGCATCCCTCGTCCTCCCCTGCACGGCATGTCGGTTCATCACGTCTCTCTGTTCCCACACCAACCTTAACCTTACTTACACTCCTCGCTCTCGCTAATTCATATCAGTCAGACATTGACAGGTAGGTAGGCGACGCATGTAAGAAGGGCGGTTGTGAGTTGAGGTGTGCGTACGGGCGACCACACACGCATACACGTCCCTGTCCGACAAATGTCTCGCGTGAGATTTGCATCGAAGCACAGCCAAACTCTTGCCTGTCTCGCCCGTGATAAAAAAAAATAAAACCAAAGTTTTGTCAAATCGCCTGGCAGTTTCTTGGCGTGGTGTCGGAGATACTTCCCGCCGCGCAGAACTTTCGGCTCGCTCGTCCTTCCGCACGCGTCGGCTGTGCAGATCGCAAGCACCAGTGGTTTTTGATTTCTAGATGAACCGTTTAGAAAGCTTACACACCAACAACCAAATGGAACCTTATCGCCAAAGAGATTCAACAGGGAGATTCAACAGGGAGATTCAACAGGAAGATTGAGATAGGGTGAGAAAAGGGACAGAGCACACGGCGCAGCACAGACTTGAAGCTCGCAAGGACATTTCACATGCATCCAGACAAGCAGACAGATGAGGGTAAGAGAGATAAACCTCACGTACATCAACCATGCACATGCACCCGCACAGGCGAGAATATCTACACTTTATCTCACTTTACTTTCACACTTGCCCATCACCCAAAACACCTGCGAGATGGAAATCAAAACTTCAGTCCACATACCGCAATAGTCAACTTGCAGCAAGATTTCTGAAAAGCAAATCTCAAGCCTGATGTTTCCCGCAGTCCGCATCAGGGCCGATAAGCGAGAGAAAAAAACATGTCTGTTCGATGACACCACGATTTCGAAGGACCCCTTTCCCCCCCTGCCTCACACATGTCTCTCTGTTTCTGAGGCTCTCCCACACAAAGTGCCATTCAACGGCGAAGATCAATCAAAGTTTGCTGCCTG